AAATATGTGTAAATACAGTTTCAATTTAGTACAAGTAGAATCAATGTCTTTCTATCTGACATGGAAAGCGAGTGTATAAAATGAGATAATATCGGTATAGTAATTCCTTATTTTTTCCTTATTTTCTTTTCACTAACTTATTACAAACTTTTTAAACTTTTTTCCTCACTGTTAAACTTGAAAACTGCTGTTTCTTATCTACAGTCTGTGTTCATAATTGACCACTGTCCACTCTCCCATGTCCTCCCTCAGGACGTTCGGGCCAAGCAGTGGCCGTGCGGGCCAAGGTGTTTGGCTTCAACGTCATCTTCTACGACCCCTACCTGCAGGACGGCCTGGAGCGCTCTCTGGGAGTGCAGCGCGTCTACACTCTGCAGGATCTGCTCTACCAGAGCGACTGCGTGTCCCTACACTGCAACCTGAACGAACACAACCACCACCTCATCAACGACTTCACCATCAAACAGGTACATCCACTGGAATGTTGTTGCTGGGGTGATGTCATCATGTCAACCTGTACTGTAGTATCGGCTGTAGTACTGACTCATTGAATAGTTTCTGATTGTCTCTGACAATCCTAACTTACTTAAACTGTATTGTATTAGTGTGTTTTTAGGGGTAAACAGATTATTGTATGTGGCTGTGGATGAACATTCTTTGACCAAATAGGAGGCAGTTTTTTTTTTGTACAGCAACAGTTGCAGACCGGGCAACCCAGGCCTGAAGGCAACTCTAGACATCTTTGTACTACAGTAAAGACAAAGAGAAAGGTTCATCCTGTACACGCAGCAGCCATCACATTTCTGTGCTCTTTATCGTAGGCTCCACCAAAGCTGGACACAAATTCATTCCGTTGCTCTGTCAAATGCAATTAGCGCCAGCCCACGGCTACAGAAAATATATCGACCGGGCTGGACAGCAGGGGGGGCAGAGAGCACTGAGGGGAGAGTGCTGCTCTCTCTCTGCAGTCAATAAAGCACTGTAAGAGCAGGCACTGCCTGGGGTGACACCTGCAGGGAAGCTGTGAAACTGCACCAGATGTCGCCCCACGGCGCCACTCACGGTTGCCCGCCGTTGTCTCATGTGTGAGTGAAGGTTAAAAGCCTAACCTGGTAAATTCTGTTTATTTTTGTTTTTACAGATTAACATGCTCAGCAGTCTCTTACGTATAAGAGCACTTTTCTAACCAAAAAAAAAATCTTGGCAGTCACTCTCCGCTCCTAAAGTGGAAACATTTGTGTGTGTGTGTGTGTGTGTGTGTGTGTGTGTGTGTGTTTCAAAAACCATCAAGGCCCGGTAAAAGACTGACTGCCAGCATCAAGGCTTTTCATGCCCCTGGATTTCTGCTTTTGTCAAGATTAAGGGATTACTTTCTTCTGAGCACATTCATTTGATTTTTTTTTCTTCCTCCCTCTTAGAATTTGTGTTGTCCTTTTTCCCACAAGCAGCAAGCCTTGGTATTACCTCATTTTTCAGCTTGTCCTTCTTTCTGCATTTCATCTCCCAGCTTTGGGTAGAATCTTTAATGTCCCACATCTGACACTGTTTTTCCCCAGCCGTCGGCTGTCACCTGAATCTGTCATATGCCACAGGAAAAAAATAAATTTAAAAATGACTGTTTATTTATTTCCCTCTCTTCGGCTTGGGTGTGTTGTTCCTGAAAACCTTTTCAGCGGCTGATATCTACCTTGAGATGAGACAGATTCATCATGCTCCTGAGTTGACAGATGCTGAAAAACCCTCTTTAATAAGTCAGTAGATTTTTCATTTTCCTATGTCACAGTCCTGTTTTTTTTTCCGGTGTTCCACAGATGCGTCAGGGTGCATTCCTGGTCAACACCGCCCGAGGAGGTCTGGTGGATGAGAAAGCCTTGGCCCAGGCGCTGAAGGAGGGCAGGATACGTGGAGCTGCCCTGGACGTCCATGAGGCAGAGCCCTTCGGGTGAGTTGGAAAAGAAAAAACCAAAGACATTTGCTCATAGAGCTTCATTTTAATACTCCTGATTTTTTTTTTTCTTTTTTTTTCTTCCGTTCCTTCTTTAAACATTTCCTGTCAAAAGTCTCCATTAAGACAAATATTTCAAAGATGAAGGGAAGAACCAGATCCACTGCAGAATCACAGTATACTGTATGTTAATTTTTTCAGGAAGACGTTTCTGTTTTGTTTTGTTTTTTTCTTTTATTGTAAATTATAAGTGAAAAATTTAGTGATCATTTTTCAATTTTAAGACAAAAGCTGACAGCATCATCCTGTGACACCAACACAGAGAGAAGGAGAGTCAGCCAATCCATCCAGTCAGGATGAGGACAGAGATCCTTAAACAGATGAAGTAACATTAAGGCAGAAAGAGTTGCAGACATGATGAGTTAAAGATGGCTCACACTCTAAGAAGCTGCTTCAGGGCCGTGCACTTAATGGAATTCAGGAGATGGAGAATGTAATTTATTTCCATCTGAACCGACAGAGGACGGTTCACTGTGCTGAGAGCAGAAAGGTCTGACTTTTCGTTCTTTTTCTTTAATGTTCAAACACTCTATAGGAAATCAGTTGTGTTCACTTGTGGAGGAAAACGTCTTAAAAGAAAAAAAAACACATTTACTGAAGCAGCAGTTGATGAAATATCAAGTCTGATTTAAATCTCAGTTTTTCTTCCTTTTCTCAACCCTGAGGTTAATTGGATAAAATGTGCGACGTGTTGACAGATTGTGCCTGTCAGAGTGATTTGACCTGCAGATATTTATTTTTATTCAAACATTCAGAATGTTTGGAGTTTTCTGTGCGACTGTAAAATGAAACTTTTTCATTTTCATCACTTCATATGTACAGATATTTTCAGTAAGAAAAAAAGTTAGACAGACACTGGCTTAGACAAGGACCTGGGTTATACCTGAACACAGAAAAACTGAAATTTGAACACAGAAATACTGTAACTGACTACTGACTGACTGAGTGACTGGACACAGTATTTTTGAATGGTCACCTTGCTCAATAACATTTCGGACACTACAGGTCATAAAAGCAGTTATCTGAATTGATTTGAGGTTTTTTTTAAAACTCACTGCAAATCATTTTTACCATGTTCTAAAATGATGATGATAAAAGGTTAAATCTTCTGTTAAGCTCAATTCCAATTTCCGACATAAACGATATAAAATGTGTAAGTCTGGTGTATGTGTGTGTGTGTGTCATAGTTTTGCCCAGGGTCCGCTGAAAGATGCCCCCAACCTGATCTGCACACCACACACAGCCTGGTACAGTGAGCAGTCGTCGCTGGAGATGAGAGAGGCAGCGGCCACTGAGATCCGAAGAGCCATCACCGGTAACAGAGATTGTTCCTCAATATCTGCCAAAACAAAGTTACATCTTCACCTACCAAAGAACCCAAACGTTCTTCAGGATCCTATTCAGAGTTTTCCTTTTTTGTTTGTTTTATGTCCTATTTTGTCCTCAATATGAGATAATCAATATTTCATATAGCCTGTCGTGTCTTCTATAATGTGAAATGTCGACTGAAAACTAGTCTGTGATCCACTTTTGGGTCCTGAACCACCCGTTGAGGATCAATGATTTAGAACACTGACCTCCCGTGTGTTCAGAAAAGAGCCAAAACTTAGTTTTTAAAACTGTGAGTTTTAAAAACTAAGCTTTTTTTATATATTATTATTACAATTTAATAGTATTACATATTATAAATATTTATATATAATTATTTTATTTTTGAATTATTGAATTCATTTATTTTTCAAATCAAGTGAGAAGCAGCATCATGATCTGACGGAGGTTTCATCTGCGTCCTGTTAATGATCTGTGGTCCTGACGACGACTTTGGGTAACAGTGACAAACAGAACCAACAGATGTCACATTTCCACCTCAGTCAGACTCTGGTTGGCTATGATTAGATCTGGACGTCATCATTAATGTGATGGTCAGGCCGTGGACACAGAGCAGAGCTGAGCCCTCTGACCAGACGACTTCATGATGTGATCGCGGCTGCCTTTTTAAAACACGTCCTGACTGTTCCATCTCTGTCTCTCTGTTTTGGTCATGTGACAGGCCGGATCCCCGACAGCCTTCGAAACTGTGTCAACAAAGAGTTTTTTGTCACCACGGCGCCCTGGGCCGTTATGGATCAACCAGGGATTCACCCTGAGCTCAACGGGGCTGCCTACAGGTAGGCACAGGAAATACAAGTGTCATCCTTGGTGTAATGCAGTAGTATATAAAATATAAATGTAGCCGTACTGTCGCAAATGAAATATTTTAACATGAAATTCTCTAGGTGACCATCACACTATAGGACCGTCCAGCTGTCAATCACAAGTATCTCCTGATTTGCAGTATTACACAACCTGCTTTAATTCTCTGTTTGCCATTTGAGTTTAAATGTGATGTTTAATGTTGTCTTTTTCTCCTAAATAGGATTTAGTCGGAATTCTCTGACTTCAGCTGTGTTGTGATGTGTCATACATCTGTATGTCCATTCCCTTCCCTTCATTTTTTACATTTTATGAGCTAAAAAGTCAGAAAAAATATAATTTTTAATTATACTCAGTCTTACTCTGAGCGATGGGGTCACATTTAGAACAAGGCAGCCGTGACCCTTTTTGAAATATAATCTATGTTACAATCGTAATGAAAAATGATAGTCTGACATAATTTTTATATGTCAAACCTTGACTTTTGTCACCGATCATCTCCATCTATCTGGATATTTTAAAAGATAATATAAACCTGGCGATCTAACCGTCGTCGTCCCGACCCCTGACCTGCTGCCCTGTGTAGTAGTAGCGCAGTATTAGAACTCTGGGCCCAGCCTGATGTCAGCGTCTCCACCTCTTCTTTCACACAGCCAAGTGAACCCATCTCACCCGGCCGTAGCTACCGGCGTCCCCCAAGACAAAATTATTGCCTAGATCAGGAGCAGGTAAAGACCACAGCAGCCACCCCTCCCCCTTCTCTGGAGTAGACCCCTTACCCCACCTACAGGTCACTTCATGTGTGTTCCCTCTCTAATCCCCGACATACTGTAGCTGTCACTGGTTTGACTGAGCACAGAGTAGACTTTGGATGAATGACTGTCCCTGGATGCATGATGTCAAGCCAGTCATGCTTCCTGGTTGGTTTCTCCGTCTCCTGGTTTTTTTGGGGGTCACTTCTGTTGGATTAAACGTCTCCAAACTCACTCTTCATCTTTTCTCCTCCTCCTCTGCCTGAATGCTGTATCAGTTTGTTTTTTTTCCTACTGAGTGACGGCTCTTTTCCCTACCAACTTTCCCATAACAGAACAAAACCGACTATTTAATCAGGTCAGGTTTCATTTGTGAAGCTAATGCTAATTCAGATTCAGATCTAGAAAGCTGTCTTCCTATTTATCCCCATGGGGCAGTTATTACAGGGACCATCAGCAAGTTTCATGTGCATTATATACTGTACAATGAAGTAATGTGGTAATGACAGTAAGCTAGTGTATTTGGCAAGTAGAGATACAATGGTATGATACATTTTCTTTACCATCTCAAAACCAAGATAAAATGGGTTTTTAAGCATAGTTAAGTATAATTTTATCTTTTATCTCATACCATACTCTGAGACTCTTTCTTTGTTCTTTTTTAATTTACATAAAGTGTCAGGTCCTGCACAATGGCAGTGTGTGAGTTTCTCCAATTCACCATTAAAACCCTGAGTTTTAATTGTTTAATTGCGATGATGTTTTATTGAATGTCCGTCTGTTTTAGTTCGTAGTTTGTTTTTTAAAAAGATACAGCTTAAATTCAAAACACCAGATTGAAATTGTGTTCTCATGAAGTTAAAAAGGTTCTGTCAAAATTCCTGAGGAAGTTTCTGTGGTGGAAAAGAGCCAGTAGTGTGATTAGATTTTCCTGTTGGTGTTGGGAATGCTGGGAATACCATCTGTGTGGCCTGACTTTAGCAGCTACACTCACTAAACTCTGACCCTCCGTCTCCACCAGATACCCACCGGGTGTGGTTGGAGTGGCTCCAGGCGGCCTCCCTGGAGCTTTAGAGGGCATGGTGCCGGGTGGTGTGCCCATCGCCCACACCCTGCCCTCCGGCACACACCCTTCCCAGGCCCCGTCGCCCAACCAGCCGTCCAAACACGGAGAAATCAGAGAGCACCACAGCGAGCAATAGCAGCAGAAGGGACACGAGCAAAAACGTCATCTCATCCAAACCTGTCCACGCTCAGAACCAACCAATCAGAACGTGTCTGACCTACTGGGACCAAGAGACAGTGAAACCACACAAGTGACCGTCTGTTCAGTCAGTCGGCAACTGGGAACTTAAGTGTTCCGGGGAATTTGTACTTTTAACGTTTTGGTTTTTACTCTCTCTGTCTCTTTGGCTTCAGTAACGACTTGATGATGATGTTTGTTTTTTTTATTTCTTTGGGACATGACAATGATTGTGGACACAAGTCCAGTGTTTTAAGCTCTCCTGGGGAAAAAAAAAAACCTGATGAGATTCTGTCCTAATGCCCGTCCCCCTCTTCTCCCTTCACCTTAGAGCTCATGGGAAACATAGGCCCACTTCTGAAGACACCAAGAGATGAATAAGATGAAATTTAAAAATCGACTGGACCTCATCACCTCCTCCTACTCTCCTTTTCTTCCTCCTCTTCCTCATGTAACTAATGTGTGTTACTTAGGCCCCTCACTTCACCTCAGAAAACTTTTTTCCCGTCTTCTGATCTTTAGTGTGGATGATTTAAAATGGTTTATTGAATTAAATATATTTATCAGTAGTCACAAAAAAATTCTCATAGTGATCTAAAGTGATTTTTAACCCTTTCCTGGCAATACCACCGTTGTCAAAGAAGCAGTTACAATCTCTCCCCACCGGAGGGCACTGCTGCATCATTTGGGAGAATCCTGATGGCGACTGCGTGTGATTTTCACGGTGAAAAAAATAAAATTATCATTACTTTGTACTTTTTACCGTAGCAAGATTTTACAGTGATACAGAACATGAATTTCCTGACTTTCATTTGCATGGAATGGTGCGTTCTGAAGAGGAATAGGGCCAAATTAGCGATGGAATTCTCAAGTAGAGATGTCCTTAAGAATTCTATCATAACTTTCAGATATCTGGGGGGAAGTTGAAAGTAAATATATTTAAATAATGTTTATCTCAGTGTTCTGCCTTGTTCTCAGAGTTTTTGTGGCTAACAGTTATGATTTAAGACGATGTTTCCAAGGTTCTATGGGGAAAAGTTCTACATTACTCTTAGAATACTGATAAAGAAATCAGAGCAATCTGAGTGGCCCTGATCCTCTTCCATAGTTATGTTAGATAGTTCTGATAACATGTAAAAAAAAAAAAAAATCATCTGTCCTGACATACTGATATGATTCATCGGTCACCCCCTGGGTCAGGAAAGGGTCAAAGTTCACAGGTCGTTTCTTCTTAAAGACTCAGGAAAAAACCTTTTTGCAGATATTGTTTATTCCCAGAGTTTTGTCTTGAAGGGAATTATCCAGACTGATGTGGTCTAGTCTGGAAACGTTCTCGTTCCTCTCCTCATCCTCTCCATTGTGGTATTTTTATATACAAGGCTCCTCCTCCTACGTTTTTGGTGTTTAAAGAGTTTTGAAGAGTCCTGTTAGATTTGTATTGCCTAGTTAAATGTTCCTATAACCATAGTCCTATGTGACCCCGCCCCCTCTCGGCCCTCTGCCCTCCTTCTTATATTTTCTTTGTTCTATTCAAGGCCAGGTTCTTTGGGGCATCCTGTACTCTGTACGAGCAATAGCAGAAATTCCTTCTTAGTGTCCCAACAATAGCAGACGAGGCAGCCAGCAGTATGTTTTTGTTTTTAGTGTGAGTATTTGTATTTGTTTCTTGTACAAGGTGAACATTTAGCATTCAGTGCAGTTCCAATAAAAAGATACAATACTTCATCTGCTTTTTTTTAGATCTAAACTAATGTAAACTAGTTCATGATAAAAAAGATAATGCTGCTAGACTTTTACTAATTTTAAATTAATTTTAACTATCTGTAATGAGACCTAAGATTTGTACATTTCAATTACAAACAAAAATGAACACTAAGAAAGTTAAGGTGAATTAACAGCTAAGGATTAAAACTAAAACATTTTGGTTTCATTATTATATTATTTAGGTTTGCCATTTTAAAACGTAAACTGCATGTGTTTTTTTGGTATTTACTGTAACTGCTTCTTCCACAGTTGCAAAAGAGAATGGAAAGCATCAACAGAATCTACTATTTTCCAAGGATACACCTGTATGCAGACAACTACGTCATCTGCTGTTTTACAGATACCATGCAGCATCCCGTAAGTCTTTCTGATATACCCCCACTGAGGGACAGAACCGTAAGTTTGGGCTGGAGTTGCAGAATTATTGTCACGAGAGTATTTGCGGTGCACAGCACTTTTAAACTCACTTTCTATGTGGTGATCAGTGGTGGGTAGTAATGAGTTACATTTTACATTTAGGTCAGTTTTCCAAGGTTTTCCTGAGGACATACGTTGCGGTAAGTTTGACCTAAAATCATTTTGTTTTGTTTTTTAAGTTATTTTGTAAATATTTATTTTATGTACACTTTTATCTATTATTTCAGATTATTTTAAGGTGTTAAATAAATGTGTTTAATTTTATTATTTTATTAATAGGATAAACTCTCATCTCTGTAATTTTGTCTAGCTGATTAAATGCTCATTAAAAAATAAATCAGATGTTACATAACAGTTACTCAGTACTTGAATAGTTTTTTCACCAAGTACTTTTTTACTCTAACCCAAGTAATTATTTGGATGACTACGTTTTACTTCTACTTGAGTAATATTATTCTGAAGTAGCAGTACTTTTACTTGTGCAAAATGTGCACGCAGCAATACCAAACAACGGTTTAAACTAATTTTATCACGACGGGCCTTTGATTGTGGCCTGCCGCCACAGAAATATTACATGAAATAGTTCGTTTTTGTAGAAAACTAAACCCTATAAACACCGTAAATAAGGGAGTAAATAATGGTTAAGGGATAAAAAAAAAAGTAATATTTTAGCAACCTTTAATTATTTTCCAAAAAACAGAAACGTTTTCTTTTGTTTTCTCAAAAATATTAAAATAGAATCTCGTCTCGGGAACCCGGTATTTTGTATTGAATTGTATAGCTAAAGCAGCTGCTCACAGCTCCGAGTGTGGAAAACGGCACTGAGAAAACATTAGACCGTCCTTTTTCTTACGATTGATACGCATTTATAAAGGAAAAGGATGCCGGGGTTTTGCTTTTTTCAGTCAGCAGAGGGCGCAATTGTATAAAACAATAAGTAATATATAATATACTATACTAATAATATTATATAGTATTAACATCCTTATAGAAATTATATAATTAAAATAAATGTTTAATTAAATAATATAATTAGATATATAACATACATATATAGTTATAAATTAATTTAAATTACATGATAGAATTAATGTTTAATTCTGGAGAATAACATTATTAATTATTACTTATGTTGAGAAGCCAAAATTTAGCACGTGACAATCAATCGTGGTAATTTAGGGAAGCAAGTCTTGAAATAATTTATTTTTTAAAAGCTGAAATAACAAGCCTTTTAAAAATAAATTATTTCAAGACTTGCTTCCCTAAATTACCACGATTGATTCTCACGCACTAAATCTAAGCATATGTAATATTAAGCATTTTGTTGATTTTTTTTCATGTACTTTTAATTTGTTATAATATAGGCTGCATTATTTTCATTAATTAAAAAACAGTTAGAGGCCCCAACAAATGTTTACCTCTTATTGTGGCTACATTTTGTATTTTTTCAAAGAATTAGAAAAGTTACTGAAAATATACTATTTGTATTGAACATAAAATTTAACAAATCAAAAACAGCAAGACTTCTGCTCTTGTTGCCTCACCTTGAACTGCTTCAGTTTGCTTGTTAAAAGGCATCCAGAACTATTTTTCCTGGTAGATATATTTTTTTGCTAATTATTTATTGACAAGCTGGATGGAATTTTAAAAAGTACAGGTGTCAACAAAGAGGATGCAGGTGAGTCAAATTTATTACAAAGCACTCCATAGAAAGAGGCAGATGTCTGGCTTCTTCTCTCTCCCTCACCAGCATTAGTGTCACCCACTCCAACAGGATCAAAAACTGCTGAGTCACACATACAAATGTCAGTAAACTTGAACATCATTATGTCCCCCCTCCCTCACCAAACGTAGGATATATCTGTGCAACGTAAAAATACTTCAGAATGAACACAGAACCAAAGCCATTGCTTCCATGTGTCAACTCAAAAACACACACACACAAAAAAAAAAACAATAAATAAAACCAACATCAAAACAAAAGGGGGGGGGGCAGGGACTCGCAAAGCAACAGCAACTTTGACAATCACAAAAGGGTTTAGCACTTTTGATTAAAGCAAAATTTCTATCAGGCAATTTTTTCTGTAAATGAAATTTGTCTAGTGCAGTTTCAGGGGTTTATTAAATACAGTACTTTTTGAATGTATTTTTTTAACATGTTCTGTTTTGTTTTTGTAGGTTTGGAAAGTAACTAATAAACGAGGAGCGTGTGCAGAAAAGGGAAAACAAAATGGGCTTGATGTGCTTTGGAAAGAGCAGAAACATCAGGGTTCTGTCTGTTGGTGCCAGATCTTGTCCTTCTTTTTGTACTTTGAACGCAGAGCTCGCACAACACATGCAACATCACAACTCAATACTTCAACAAAAAAGGAAAAGGAGCAAAAAAAAGAACTGCAGACAGTGAAGTACTTTCATGGAGCCCAGCGTGCACTCCCATCTCATCATCTCCCTCCTCAGTCGTCTTCGTCCTCCTCTTCCTCCCCGTCGGAGAGAGAGGCACAGGGGCGGATCTGTCGATATCGGTCCAACCACTTCTCCACCATCTGGGTGACCAGAGGGTGGTAGCGGCGACGGGAGCTCTTCTGCATGGCCGCCAGCATTCCTCCTTCTGTCACACAGCAGTCCAGCCATTCCCTCAGCAGCTTCTCCTGCTGCTCCTCGTTCCCCATCTGAACAACATTTAAGACGTTAACTACGGACCGTCACGGACACGCCTTCCAACACAGCTGCTACCGGTGTCTGTCACACACACACACCAAAGTTACGGTAAAATTATTGGCAGCAATATGAATTTAGTCTTATCTCATGGAATTGAGGAAATCAGGGCCTATTTAAATATTTATTGGATATGTATGCAGGAGCATGGTTTGGCACTCACCAGTTTCTGGATTTTAGCGATTTTACATGTACCAGTAGGAAATCAACGCAAGTCTTGTACATGAGGCCCCAGATCTTTCACACAGTGAGTTTGCACAGTTTAAAAAAAAACTACTCTCCTCATAGTAACCAACTCAGACTCAGTAAACACTGTTAGGTAGACTAACTTGTCACCTAACACTTCTCTAGTCATTTTCAAACATACATACATAGTATTCCTGCAGACGTGTCTATGACGATAGCCAACGGCTTTCAGATTAAGGTGACAGTTAAGGAGATTCTTAGCACAGAAAAACTCTAAGTGTCTCTGTTGTGCAAACAGGATTTTACAGGCTCTAAGCTCAGTGACCTCAGTGACCACAGTGAGAGGAAGAGACCTGTGTTAGTGCATGTCTTTTTAATAATGATGTATGTGAAGTTATTTATCATTACCATTAGGAAGCAGGCACTTCGATCATGTGTCAACTTGATAATTGAAACTTGATAGGTTTGACAAAGGTTTGCTGTTATGTATTTATTTGTTTTTTCTGCCGTCTCTTAGATGTTCTACTTGTTGACTATCAGTAGCTGTGGTCCACGGTGACTGGACGTGATGGAGTGTACCTCTTGTGCAGACAGGAAGTGAATGTGCAGCAGCTTCCTCTCACTGTCCACCAGTGGCAAGAAAGTGACGGTGACGTCGTCGTCCGTATTCAGGTTGGCGCCAGCACCTCGATTGTCGTAGCCATCGTTCTCCATGGCCACCAGGGCCGAGAAGTGGCCCCGAGTGTAGCCCAGGGCGATGGGACTCTTCCAGCAGAAACTCTGTTCCCATAGTAAAGGTAGGTACACACCTGAGAAACACACACACACACAGGGTTGGTCAGAGCAGCTGGGAGATATGATACACTAGAGTGAAGCCACCTGAAGAACTGCTCCCTGCAGCTGTACACTCAAATTACACCGTGTCAGACAGGTATGAAGGTGGGAGGGGGGTGCAGCAGCTCAAAACTGGTCTGACAATAGACCAGACTGATTTACAGCCGCCTGTAACAACTGGGTCATGAGTACGGAGGAACCTCGGCTTGATGCCACGGTTCTGCAAAAAACTGCCCTCCCTCTTCACTCCCACGACAAACTCCTGCCCTGAAATAAAAAAACAGCCCTCTTCACCAGGCATCTTAAGGCTAAAGCTGTGGCTGCAGGTCCTCTCTGAGAACCTGCCAAACTGCCCGATTAGATGGAAACACGCCATGGCTGTATTTTTTCTACCACACCTCAATACTTGGTTCTGACTTATGAGGATTTCAGCAACAGGCTGTGCCTTGTATACTTCTGCCGTTGGTCTGTTAATGTAGGATCAACAAGACACCAACTTTTCCAGTCTCACCTTGAAAACGTGTGTATCCTAACGTTTCTCCACGGAAACTCTTGTAGTATTTCACTCCGTAGACTATGATGGGTCTGCGAAGAATGTGTGCAAGAACAAAAATGTGGGTCTGCTCCAGGCTGGCCCCAGGCTACAGGGAGGAAAAGGAAGAAGGAGGGTGAGGAAAAGAAAACATCAAACTGTATCTGACATCAAATAAATCTCCCACAATTCAATCTTTATATCTAAAAATAGCACAGAGGAGTGAAGCTGCCAAGTTCTGTGATCCTATAACAAAACAGAGACATTTTTAGCATTTCTCTGCTGTAATATTTGTATAGGCTGCAGATGGCAAGTATCTCCAAATACGCTGCAAATACACATCTCCCAGGCTTAGACTTTCTCCCTCTTGAAAATGTTGCGACACAATGCCTAGTGAACTTTCAGATGTCAGATAGATGAGGTTATATCAGAGAACATTCATATACTGATCACTCTCTGTGCTGAAATACTTGTGCTTATAAGGTGACACGCTGCAGTCAAAAATAACTTCTTACATTTTTTTATAAACATGTTGGCATGAAGACATCAGAGCTAAATGACAAAACTCCAAAAAGCCTCATTTGTACTAGTCAGAAACAGACTTTAAAGCTAAAAAAACTGCAGATTATTAAGTATGCAGCCAAAATGGGAATGGAGCAGCAGAAAAACAGAGATGAACTGGGTGAGACTCGATAATGTGGAATAAAAGCCGACACTTGTTGAACTTAGCCTGTTACGTTAATGTATTTAGCCAATGTTCCTCTTTACAGATTGAAATTTTGGACTTTTCTCTGGTGCATTGTATAGTCTGGAAAATACAGTATTTAAAAGTAAATGAGCAAATAGTAGTAACAGTAAATATTACAAAATTATTTGTTGGCCTGACATTAATAAGTCACATATCAATATTATTTCCTCTCAGTTTTCAAAGTCTGCTGAGATTTACTCGTAAGGAAAACTGCAGCTGTAGCGCTAATCGACATTGGTTGTTATGTGGCTGTGCCTCTTGAGAAAAAAACACAATGAAAGACATAATCAGAGCATTAATAACCACTTAAGTTGTAATAAGCTCCAGCAACAACAGCTATAATTTTTACTACACATTAAAAGTAACCTGAAGGGTTTTTCACAATCGCCGGTGGTTCTATGGATACTTTTGCAAAGCAACTACTTCACCCGTCAACATGATCTAATGCAAACGTACTGTTCAGTGCACGCCAGAGAAATATGTGTAAGGAAATGCAGATGGTGGAATAAAAAAAAAAGTTGAAAAGTAAGTGTACAAACATAAAGTAAACGTACAAAACTGTGCATTTGTAAGGAATTTAAAAAACCTTATGTATTTCTTTCAAAACAAGTAACTTGGAAAATAAAAAATCAAGGGAATTTGTGATGCAATAGGGAGTTCAGTCATTTTATTATGTGGTTAGAGCTGTTTATTTCATAACAAGCACAGAGCCTGTTTTTGTTTTGTTCAATTTTCCAACTGTCAAAGTCCTAAAATCACCCTAGTAATTTAGCCATGAATATAACACTATATTTTTTCACTTTACAAAGAAACCAGACCATACGGACAATTCAATGTCAATTATTAAATAGTGAAGTGGAGGAAGTGCAGTGAGCAGACTGTCATCACCTGGCTGGCCAAAGACAGGATGAACGCCCAGTCCTCCTGCCACTGTTCTTCTCTCAGGGAGAAATGCAGTCCAAAACTCTGTGAGTACCACGACTCCCACTCCTTCCAGCGCGTATAAAACCTAAAAGATTGATCATTTTGAGTTCACTTTGTTATTTACAGTAAAAATAAAATATGCATGGGTCTAATCTAAGTTTAATCTGAAAAGTGTCTTTACAGAAAATACTTTATAAAACTGGGGGATCTTACCAGTGGGAGCAGTCGTGCAGGCTGTCATGGAGGGTTTTGCGGAGAACAGAGTCTTTGTCATAGATGCCCCATGTGGCCTGCAGAACAGAGTCCAACAGACAGTCTCCCGCTGTGCGGTTCCATAAGGCATACAGGCGACTGTCCAGACGCGTGCCTAGCTCCAAAGACCAGTTGATGACAGGTGATTCTTCTTCCAGCTCTGAGCACACAGCCAGAGAGACAGAAACATTAATGTACGATAAAGGGGAGCACAAAGAAACAACTCACTTTTAGACATGTCCATCCAAGTTTACATTCATTACATAACTACTCCAAGTTCCACAAAACCTGCTTTACAGCATTTTTCAGTAAATTTCAGCAAAAACACTTAAAGGACAACAATAATAAATGTGTAAATGTGACATTTGTGAAATTCTGTGGGAGGAAAAGCCTTGGCTCAATAATAAAATGTGGACTTTTTAACAGTACAATTATGACTTATCCATATAATTCTACCTTTCTGAACATCTCGATCCAACACCTCATCAAACAGCTTCTCCTGAACAGCAGGTGGCAGGTCTTCTATATCTGCAAAGACAAATGGGAAGATGTTTTTGGAGAGCTCATTAAGAATTAATGGTCGACTGTAGCAGGAGCAAGAGGAACACTGCAACAGTGACAAGACTGAGGACTTGCTTTAACTTAACAGGCTGACACTTGGTCAATAGCACACAGCAAAGACAAGCTCTGTGCAGCATGTTGTGGTTGCTGTGTGTGTGAGTACTGAATTGTTCACACATAAAGCAAGAACACTGTGCTATTCTCTCACTCAATAGTGAATGGCACTGGCTTTGTCTGGAATAGGAGAGAGAGAGAGAGAGAGAGAGAGAGAGAGCGTAATAGAGAGAGCGCCCAGCAGCTGGCATCGGGACAAATTCTGTCTGAAAAGAAATACTTGGCTTAACAGCAAACATATTTTATCAGCGAGAAACTGCATAACCTTTCAACCTGCTGGAAGCTCTAACCCTGCGATAAAAGTGGGGGTTCAGAAGAGAGTAGTTCATGTCGTTTAAGTGAAGACGTGACGCCACAGGGACGACACACTAATGTGCTGTTTACTGTGAGCGATTCCGTGCAACAAGACAGGGTTTCATTCTTATGACGCAAAGCAGAAAAATGCTTATAGCTATTTTTATTTCCTTCTCATTAACGGAAGGATATAGAGGAATGAATAGATTAATTGCTTAAATTATTTTACTGTAGCCATGTCTAGGATTGACCAGACGTCAAATGTACCTGCAGGGAGGGTGAAAGTGACCAGATCAGTGAGGAAGTAACAGGCAAAGTCTCCTTTACGTTGATGTAGTGAGGCTGCGACTTCTCTGCGGATCTGCTCTGTCAGCTCAGGACACACCATGGAGGGGATGCACTTAGGTGCCTGCTGATTCACCTTTAGAAACAAGACGTACTTATGAGAGGGAAGGTCTAAATTTGAAGACAAAAAAGTCAGCAGTGCAGCTGAACCCACAACAGCAATTCTAGGTTAGTCTTATGATTCTGTTTAAAAAATGACTGACTCACATAGGATTGTACAAAACTACCAAAGCATTAAAAACAATTTAAATGGAAAAGTAGCATAATTTTAAAATGCTGTTACTAACTTTCATCATTAGGGCTGTTGATTACATAATTACACGTATACAGATCTTATAAATGCAGCCTTTTAAGCTAACGTGTACTCGTTGGCTTGACAGCTTTTTCATGAACACAATCATACTTTCAATCATGTTACTCTTACATCTAATAAATATACTTTTAAATTTCAAAATAACTATTTGTAATTTAAGAGATGAAAAGTCATGCAAATATCTTACTATCTAGGTAAATGAAAACAGATTCCCTTTTTTGGAAAACTATAAAAACAAATAAATAGGGTTTTTTAATATTATGGGCAATGCCTTTTTATGCCTGTAAAAGTATTAAATGCCTTTATAGTTAGTATGATAGAATAAGGTTTCACAGCGTTGCCTTAATGACCTTCCATGGCAACCCTGAGGCATCACCACTATTATGACCCAACCAGGCTAATCCTCCTCCTAATCCCTAAAGTGCACTGCCACTATAATTACAGGCATTGCAGGCATCTGCTGTACATCTCCTGTTATAGTTCTGAACAGTTAAGAGACTGATGAGAGGTTCAATGAAAGGTTGTGCAGAACAGAACAGAAATTACATGGACATTTTTTTAAATTGTGTAAATGGGATTGATTTAGTTAGACAAAAAAGCTCTGTAGTATTATTAACGTGATTTGGTTTGTTATTCAAAAACAGATGATGATGACCTCTGGGAGCAGGATGGCCAACATGTCCTGCCTGTGGAAGCGAATAGCCAGATGGACCAAGGTGAAGCCTACATCAAATGCAGAGGACCGGTTTAGGAGTTGCACCTCGCTAGCAGTCAGCTGCCGGGCAATGTCGCCTCCGGACGACTTGTAGGCTTCCACTGCCGCCATGTCTCCCTCCACAACGCCTGAGGCACAGGAAGTCAGAACAGGACAGATTACAAATAAATGCTCTTAGAAAGAAACTTTGCTGTATTACACTAGACCAGGGGTGGCCAACCTGTCAGAGGCTTAGAGACACAATTTTTATTCGTTACTGCAAAGAGCCACATGATATACAAGGGCAGATGAACACATTATTTGCACACATTGCAGGAAAAACGTTTCGTTCCTCTGCATTTTATCAGAGCTGGAGTTCTGCCCTTCAAATAAAACCAGGGAAATGTCTTATTCTGTAAGCTAACAAACAAGTACCTTTCTATATTTTTGTGTATTTAAAACAACACTGAGTACGCTGGCTGTACGGCATCACATGATTTTGGTTGAAATGCAGAAGTACATCACAGGGAAAGAAAACAGAGTAGAACTGTAAAGATAGTATAAAGAGAAGTTGTGAGGCTGGGGGGAAGTGCTTGGCTTTGTTGTGTGTGTAGCACATCTCACTTCCTCCACACAAACAATTGCCATACTAGTTGTACAATACCTGAAAGAAGTCAACTGGTGTAGCATAATTAAAAACAAGGGTGAATGATATCATGAAGTTAACAGGCACTGGAATGTTTACAGTGCTTATAGGCCAAAAGAGAGAAAAGCACACGACTGTGACCTCAGTGTAGTGTTTACTCTACTTCAACAACAACAAGCTGACTAAGGCAATCAGAGCAAAGGTTATTGGGTCCCCCGATCATGTGCTGCTTTCATGCTTTTAGCATTCACTGGTGTCCGTGTCATGTTTGGGCTATTTCTGCCTCCCGCAGGCCCCTGCGCAGCACATATGCACTACTGTTTACAGGGTGTGTTGAGTGCCAGCCCTTCTTCCTGCGCTGTGCAGAAGGCCCATTCATCTCCACTGGCTGGGAAACACTCACACCCTTTCAATATCTCAAAGCCTCTCAGTGTCAGGGCAGAAGCAGCAAGGAGCTCAGCAGAAAACTGGACCAAAATTCCCACTAGGCATATGGCTACGTCCTTATTATCCTGCCTCTAGTTTCATTACAACTGCATTGACAGGTATCATGTCACTATAATGTACTAAACAGAAAGAAAAGCCTTGTGAAATTTAAACTTTACTCAGTGTTACATCATGGAAGAAAATTTAAAGAAGCTGGTTTGACAATGGATAACAAGGATAAAGTCTTTTAGAGGGGAGCCACAAAAAGAAAAGAGGCCAAAACGATCACATCATGTCTCACACCAGTACATTACAAATCTGTAAATTAGAGGTTAGTGTATTAAAGCTAGAGTTCGGCTTATTCTAATCAGGCTTTTTTTTAAATTAAACTTCACATCAGACCTTGCAGAAGTGTAAATACTCACCAGCACATGCATTAAGAAACAACCAATCTGTTTTCCGCATCCTGTTTCTTATTTGCTTCAACTTCTTGAAGTCCACCTCTTGCTCTCCATTGTTGCAAATGGCTGCAGCCGCAAGCTCTATCGTCTGGAGATCCATTTCAATTTTATCATCTCGCTTATTCAAAGGTGGTGACCTCCTCTGGCCTCCACTGCAATTGCCTCTCCAACGACCTCTGTCCTGCTCATTGATCATGGATGATGGAGCTGCTGAGTCTGCCAGCTCAATGGCATCCTGGATATTGGGCCTGGGGTGGTCGCAGACCACACATTTTACAGTTTTGGGCCAGTTGTGATAAGTGCAAGCTGTACATGTCCAGTGCTGCTGGTGGGTATTGAGTCTGTTTCTGTCGTTGTACTCTTCACAGGTGTCTGCAGGTGAGTGGAGAGCAGAATGGGAGCTTGAAGTCTGAGGAGACTCAGTGGGGCTGCTGGTTCTTGGTCGCTGACACAGGCACTGTGTACAGCGGATTGCTCTGGGCCAGTTTAGGTATGTGCATATGTGGCAGGACCACTTAGTGGCAACCTCACCCATGGACATTGATTTAACTCTGGGTCTAGCACTGGAGTCAGGACAGATGAGAAGGCTGCTGCTGCTCTCAGTTCTAGCAGAGTCCCACTCTACACTGGAATCCAGGTCAGGGTTGTTCTTGTAAGGTTCCTCTGTGATGACAGAACCCAATGATCTCGAATGTGCTCGACACATGGTGCACTTGACTGCTGAGGGCCAGTTTTCATAGGTGCAGTAGTCACAGACCCACTTAATCCTCTGTTCTGTCATTGTCAATCACTTTGGTAATAAAACTGTAATAAAAACAAATTATTTAATTATTAAAATAAAAATTGACATTGTCATATACACAAGGCTATTTTTATATACACGAGTGGTAGAAAAATAAATACAAATGCTCTAGTACAACTAATTTAATGTACAACAAATAGTGTTAGCTAATTACAAACTGTTTGAAATATTCAATAAGTCAATTTATATAATTTCTCAATAAAATTTAAAATGTTTAAAATAAATGTATAATTTATGCTACATTTCAACGACTTGGGTGTTAAAGACTAGCATGAAAGGCTTACAACCCAGTTAAACATTATTACCCACAGATTTAACGCTTTACGCATATATTGCAAATCCCATATTAACATTAATAAACGTTACAACAGGGGAAAACGCAACAAAAAAAACCTCTCACCTTTAAACGTCAGGGCTTGTTACTCAAGTACAGTTGGAAACCACAACAAACCACTCTAGTCCAGTCCCTCCTCCTCCGCCTCCTCTTTGCTCTATCAAATCTTTCCCAAAAAATATTTTGACCCCTTAAATCGCTCACATTTTTACTTTTATACACTCATTAACCCCTTTCAGAACAAATCACACGATGGTAAGGCCCCCGTTCTCTCCTAGTCATGGCATTAATTCGCGGTGCTGCATAATTTTATGTTGCCTTCGTGTTGTTTAATGGCGGCGACAGTGTAACAAACCAGCAGCAGAAGCAAAATAATGCTACCCAACCAACGTCACCAATCAGCTGGCTGTATGCTCAATCTGATTGGCTGAAAGACTTTACCGTGAAGCGTTCATGGTTGTCGGAAAATGTGTTTACTTCTCAGGTGATATATTTGGTAACGTCAAATATCCGTAAAAAAAAATAAATACAGTATTATATTGGCCCTAATTATTGTGACGCGTAGTACTATCTTTCTTTGGGATGTTGTTACAATACCAAGATGTCGCAAAGACCAATAGCAGGGGGCCCAAACGCTACATAGCCTGGACAGACAGCAAAAAACATTTAATTGAAGCCACAGAATAGTCATATTTAAAAAACAAATACCTACGGGTTCATCCTTTAATATCAAACTCATAGAAACAAAACAGCTGAATACAACGCTAACATGACAAATAAATGAAATAAACAAACAAAATATGTGGATGCAAATGCTTTGTGTAAAATTATGCTTAATAAAAATTACATTTTCTTTTATTAAATTTCTGCTAGTAGGAATGTATATGTAATATGCGAACATTTAACCTGACTATTTGGTGTACCTTTAAGACGAATTTGTTTTTGTGTAGTGGCAATATGGCCACGCCCCTTGTCAGACGTCACATCTAAACATGGCGGCGTACTTGAGTCGGATACACCACATTTCCCTTCACGTTTCTAACGCGGAGAAACTAGCCAATGACCTTGTCTCCAAATTCAAATTCTGTCTGTTTGCAACTAGACAAACAGATAGGTCACGGCAGCTGGCCTTCAGGAAAGCAGCTGCAGTTTTTCTCGTGAACGAGAGACGACAGGACAGTGTGAATTTGGATGAAGAGGTGCCTGGCAACACAAGTTTTCCAGACCAACACCTGGTGCAGGTGGGAAAATGCAGTACAGGGAAATACCTGTACGATGTCTGCTCTCATTACCCGGTGGACACTGTCAGCAACGTGTGTTTCGAGGTGGAGGATGTGGAAAAGTCGTTCAAGGATCTGCGACATATTGGATGCGACTTCCTTGTACCACCCACGATAGTGGAGGACGAGGGTGGTGTCGTCACATATTCTGTGGTTAAGTCAATTGTAGGGAATGTCTGCCATACGCTGATTGACAGATCTAAATATGAAGGGTCATTTCTGCCTGGTTTTGAAGTCCTTGAAAATGACAGTATCCTGGAGGATAAGGACAGGACCTGTTCAATCTCACATTTTGACCACATCACATATGCCTGTCCCAGGAAAACCACCCAACAGGTCATGAGGTGGTATGAACAGCTGTTTGGTTTCCGCAGGTTTTTTATTGACAGGTGAGGTTGTTTGTTTGTTTGTTTTTTTATTTGGCTTGATGAATACATATTATATGTTGTTGTTCTTATTAGTAAGGAGGATGTGGATGAAGGTTATGTAATAAACCAGGACGGAATTGGGCTGCGTCTTACTGCCATGGAGTACTGGAAATGCAGTGAATTGGGCATTATCCTTCCCTTTGTGGACAAAAAAGAGCCTGACTGCAAGTTTGTTATCGCAGAATCACTGCCTAAACAAGGTGAGAACAAATATTTCACCTCTCAAGATATTTTTCCCATTTAATTATTAAACAATTTGGATGATTTCCTCTGTATGTCTTTGGTAATGTTTAGGGAGAAACCAGGTTGACACGTTCCTGGAACAACACGGATCTCCAGGAATCCAACACATTGGTCTCTATACTAAAAACATTCTCTGTACTGCACAAGCCATGTCTGAAGCTGGTGTGCAGTTCTTCTCCCCTCCTCCTACGTACTACACTGAGGTTAAACAACTTATTCTAAAACAGTCTGTTGGGTTATATAACAAAAAAGTATCATACGGAAAATATATGTACTGCAAAAGAAACTGATTCGATCATCATGTAACATTTATGTAAAGGCCTGTTCAGTGCGTGATGTCACTGAAGAGCTGCCCATTAAAGACAACTGATAGAACATTTAAGAATGAATATCAGCTTTATTAAAAGTTAATGACGTATAGATATTTTCCTTTGGCCTGGTCAAAATATTCATTCGAATTTAAAAATGTCTTTGATTGATTCTTATGAATGATTTGTTGCCTTTTGTTTAAAGCCTCCTCAAAAAGGAAGTTAAAAATATTTAACTTTGTATTTATAACATAGTATTTCCTTCTTCAATAACTTTACGGATGCTCTGCATGGTGACAGGTGGGAAAACAGCAAGAAATAGAGGAGGCTGGACACAACCCCCAGATGTTGGCACAGCATGGCATTCTCCTGGATACGACTCTACCGCTAGATTCTTCACTGCAAAAAACGACCTGTGATGATATACAGTGAGGGGAAATAAAACTCTATGAATTTGTCTGTATTTCTTAAGTATTCTTATGTGAAAATGGCTGATCTAACACCAACCAATGTCCATAACCTGTTGTGGCTCCCAGATATCTTCTACAGGTGTTTACCAAGCCCATCTTCAGTGAAGACACCTTCTTCCTGGAGTTGATAGAGCGAAGAGGGGCGACCGGTTTTGGCGAGGGAAACATCAGAGCGCTGTGGCTGTCAGTTCAGGCCTACATGGAGAAGAACAAAAAGCATTCTCACACTGCTCAGGTTTAGTCAGATTGTTGTTGTTTTTTGTGTGTGCGTGTGCTTTTACGCTGCTTTGAACCTGTTGCACTGCATAAAAAACAATTATTTAATGTAATAATATCCATCATGGACATGACTGAACACATGCATGTTTTGGGTGATTTTTGAAAT